CTCGCGGCGGCTCTGAACATACGACAGGGGCAAGTTTTGCCGAGGAAGACATTTGGAACACAAGTCAAGTTTGAGTAGGTTTTCTGGACGAAAAAAACCGAGAGTCGACCTTTTAAACAACTAATTTCTGAAAACAGACGTTCTCAAAATGTGTCTACTAAAACTAGGCCTTGTGGGAGAACGCGTTCTTACACCATGCCTCATCATCTTGGGGTTTGCGCAAGTGGACCTCCTAAGTATGGACATTCTTGACGTAGCCATTCTGCAATAGCTTTTCTACGGATACTACTTCTAAAAATGACCTTGGAATTCAGACCGCATAAAAATCAGTTTAAAAACCTTTACGGTGTAGGTTTTCTGAGCGCGTAACTTCCAGAAATGCCTCCGCCGAGCCTAGGCCCGCTGAAAATAGGTTCTAAGAAACGAACAGTGACAGGACAGATTTTTTTACAGAGCGTCCGACGGCCCTGCGCCAACCAACTGCGCAGCGCGACCCGGAAACGAGGCCTGACGGGGGCGCTCGCGCCGCCGCCGTTCCCGCGCGAGCCTGTCGAGTGGCGGGGTGTCGCAAGGTTTCGCCTCGACACCCCGACCAGCAGCACGCCAGCGCGCGCGACGAGAGCGTGACGCCCCCGGCCGGACAAGGCGGCCACTCGGGACAGGTGCGACTGTACAGGTCCGACGTAAAACAGGCGACTGCCAGCGCAGGTCGGGGCCCCACCCGCCAACTGGCGGCTGTACGGAACACGTGACGGACAGGCCGAGAGCGAGAGGGAGAGCGGGTCCCCTCGGGGAGAGACGATCGGTGGCCCTCGAACAAGGGACGGGGCCTCTCTCGAGGAAGGGCCAGAGGTACCTTCTCAAGCAGGGTACGGCGGGTCCCTTTTCGTGCAAGGGACGGCAAATCCTCCCTCAAGCAAGGGACGATAGATTCTCTCGAACAAGGGCGGTCGAGCCTTTTCCAGCGGCGATGAGGTCAGTGCCAATAACACGTCCCCGAAGGTTTGATGACAACCCTGCTGTCAGAGATAACCATAGCGCATAGAAGTATGCATCCCACCCGTAAATATCTGTGCACCAGTCCCACAACTAGTGACATCAATTATTCGGTACGCGCTCGAATGGTCGTATCGTCACGGGCGAGACGGATGGCAGAAAAGCCAAACATGTTATCTGCTTACGGCACTCTAGGAGGAACGCATTGTCTCTCGGACCGCGTGAGAGCGGCATTTGAAAGACTTGGAAGGTATGTGTTTTATGGCTTTCTAAGTGTATGGGTTGTGTGTGTGTCAGCGTGCAGTCCGCCGTGTTTGCGTGCGATTTGTTTTTGTGACTGTGCTTGTCTGTGGTTATACCTATGTTTCTTAACCTCTTTTTATCACGAGGCCAAATGGTGTATTTTGGTCATCCATATGCCACATCCGATGGTGTACCACATCCACACGTCAAATCCTTTGCCGAAGTTTCAGCGGGCACCGGAACGAAGTGTGGCCTCTCCTCTGACGAAGAATTCGCTACCGGGTGTGGCTGCCCTAATAATGTCCAATCTTCGGGCGAGGGATCCATGAACATACATATTGAAATCAAGCCTACAACCTGAACGGTTGGTTTCATCTTTTCCGTTGGATTTTTCTTTGAGACATGCGTGCCTATACGCCTCAGCATACGAGTCTTTAATGAAAAAAGGTTACGAAAAGCATGTTCTGAGGTGTGATAACTTTCACGCACCACAAGATAACCTTTTAAATAAACCTTTACCTTTTAGATAAGTATAAACTTTTATATAATATGGATAACCTATAATAAATAATAAGGATAACCCAAAAGACAACCTTTTAAAAATAAAGATGGCATACAAGAACAAAGACAAGGTTGAATCCCAACAAATGTCGAACAATGAACACATCGCCACTGTACAACAAAATAAAGGGTGGATCAGAGCTTCAGTTTTCTGCGTCACAATGCCACGTCAAGAATACTGCACCGCAATACCGAGTGGCGGTCGCGCAGCGGCACCAGCCCATCGCAGACTACGCCCAAACAAAATCGTACAGGGATATTGGTGCGTAAATGGTGACCGACTATCAAAACGAATGCGCCGTTATACGAGCCTGAACAAAATGCTGCAGCTTGGCAAGCACGTGACTAAAGCAAAATGACTTACGACAAGCCCTATCGTGCTAGCTATGGAAAGATCAAGCTCACCAAGACATCACAGCCACAAAACAATGCACACTTTTTGAAACGTTGACCTTGCCTCCTTACGGCACGTGCCTGTCTGCCGAGCCTGCCTGTATGACGCAGGCCAGCGCCAGCGGCCGCGCTCTAAGTGCGGGATATGAGCCAGCTGCGGCGCAGGTCAACACGCAGCTGAGCGTCTGCTTTCACGTCAGTGAGGCTTCTACGTCGCCAGAAAAGGCCAGACTGGAGCCGGACGACGTAGTGCGCCTCAGAGTCCGCACTCAGGATGCACCGGGTCAGCCAGAGGCCCCTCTCACGCTGTCTGGTGGCTGGAGGATATCTTGGTCATGGACGTGGGGCATAGTGTGTCGTGACTCTGACGACGCGCGGAGAGGAAGTGCGCGCATAAAACGGTTCTCCCAAGATTTGGTCCACTTTCCCCTCAAAATTTGGGAACGGGCTGACGCCCGTCCGCCAAACCTAATAGAAGACTACACTCCTGCCTCTGTTTGAGGGCGCGACCCGAAAAACTGCATCCCGCAATCACTGGCAGAAACTACAACGAGAAACCGCACACACATTGCAAGCAGGCAACTGTACCCAAGTAAGAGGAACTTGATTGTGTTGTTGACATGCAAGCAACTGCAATGTGGCCTTCGAAGCAAGACACTAGCTCGGGTTATCACCATTACACAAACCATACATTTTGTGACAGTAACGCTGCTTCCACGGGCAGTCCAAACAAAACAATGCGCATCTTACAAACCGTTAACCATCACATTTTCATGCTTTAGCGTGGCTCATCAGATCATAAACTCAACAAAGATTTTGATTCTCACATCATTCGTCCTTGCCAGCCTAAAATGAATGAAACAGCATACCAAACCATTACAATTGTTACCAGTCAGCCTGACATGCTGATCGTGTCACGCCCTTATTAATGGTGGCATCTGGACCGGACCGAAGCAAAGCTGACCGCAGGTAATGCTGGAGGCAGGTGCCGCCAGGCTGTCGCTGATTGCATCAGTTTGCAAACGACAGGTCCACGTGTCACCAGTGACTCCCGCAGGATTCCGCCGCCAACGACGCACCGCTCCGTCTGCCGTCACGATTACGGGGGTCTGTTTTCAGCAACCCGTTCACGCCGCAGACCGCCGCGACGCCGCAGGGACGCCGCGCGTGCGCGGACGACGGGCGCACCTCCGCAGTTGCGCCGCCGTGCCCGAGGTCAACTTGAACTTTGCGGGCGCGAGAGCAGGTCTGAAGGTCAGCAAACACCGCACCAGTCCACTCCTGTTCCGGCTTCGAGGTTGCTGGCAACGTATGGCCGTCTGTGTTTACCGCCACGTCAAACGGAGGGCATTCTTGGCCTGCGCTCAAGGATGCGTCGACACGTGACGTCCAGCAGCCGCGGCACACATGGGCCCGGACTCCGGCACGGAGGACCCGCCCCGGCTTGGATTGCATGCTTGCTTGAGGCACTGGTGCAACATCCCTCCGGGGAGAACGTGGAGGTGGGGGGCGTGCTAGCGAGAGGCTTCGACAGGGCACCGAAATTGGACTTAATTTGAAAACGCACGCGCAATTTCAGCAACTGGCAACGTTTTTCTTCACACTTTGCGTGAGCAGTTTGGGTTTACCGCCTGCGACATATTTGGAGGATATTTGATCTTTCCACAGTGAATCGGTTTTGTTTTCGCGGGTCGTCCAATGGCTGGCATCGGCATTTCAGATGACCTTTGAATTACGTAACGCGTTGTGTAATTCATGGGCGCCTCCCCTACTATCTAAACTATTGGGTAACGACAGATGCCACCACGATCCCTCCCCACCCACCACTGTGGTTTTTATAGTCACTTCCCTCTCCGGAGCGAAATAAAAAAACATGTCTAATCAAAGAAGTTCATTTCGCGTTCGTTCTCAGGAGCTGCGTAAGCGCACGCATTACGAGACAAGCTAAAGGCAATAATACCGCCAGAATCACAAAACCGCTTCATGCCCGGGGCAGGATTACGGAAGTGTTCTAGGAAGCAAGGTGAGGTCCTGCCGAATGCTAATGACGCAGGCACGCCATGCCTACGTGCAATAATGCTGGCTTGTTGGGGCCAAATAGAGGTCTTGATTAACCCTTTAATGTCGTCCCCGGGACTATATTTCATTCACACGTCTCCATTTCACATGCTTTTTGATGTCATCCCTCCATGATTGCAGTTCTGTGCAATACACGTCAGCCATCTTTTAGCCTACATTATCAAAATTCAAGTTTAAAAAAATTATAGATTACATGCTGAATGTAGGCCGCTTGAGACCGTGTGACGGGAAATCACCGTCAATATGCTTGTGTGTGTGTATATATATATATATATATATATATATATATATATATATATATATATATATATATATATAACCAAATAAGTTATTGTCACCCCCGTTGTTGCACATCTGTGATTGGATTCACAGCCAGTCACTGTGTGACGTTCACAGCTAATCACTAGTCCTTAAATACAGCTCGGAACACCACGGCGGCGGGTCGCGACCCACGAGGAGTGCTGCGCAGGCGCAAATACGCTGCACATGGCTCCCACCCGACTTCGATCGGGCGTCGCTAGCGAGCCGCGGACGTAGCGCATGGCATCGTTTTCAAGCGCAGGGTATCGACCGTCCGTACGCGCAGACGGTTACACAGGCGCTCATCACAAAAAAAGAAACTAAACGCGTCCCCGAGCACGCCGCATGCGACAAATCGACAAGCAGTGCTGCAAGGCATCGGAACAAAGGAGCTGCATGAAGCTGCAGACGTATCCGTTTTCGCTTACCTTTTTGGGACCAACGGCTCGCGGACACCAACCCCCGTCGCTGGCAAAGAGCTTCTGCTGCGCTCCGCCAGACCCATGACGTCAGAGGGCGCACATGGCACGAGTCGGACCGCCGCCGGCGGCGCTGGCGTGACCTTGGCAACAGCGGATCGGGCACGCTGATTGGTGGACGCGGAGGCGTGCTGGCCCCCTCCCCCCTCAGTTCAAGGCTACGTCGCCGGCGCCGCGGGTCCTCACGCGGTGGCGCCAGCCATGGTCGATGGCGGTGCGCTGGGTTATGTAACGACGTAGCGCCGGCAAACACGGGACCATTACCATATGACCAGAACGTCTGCTTCCTGGGCGGTGTGAAGGCTGCCGTTTCCGCCCGGCCTTGGCCGAAGGCGATCAGGTAGCAATGGCACAGATGAGTGGTTCTAAGTGGCCATGACTCACACGGTGTCCGCTGCAGACTCAACAGAACTGCAGGTCGTGATAAACCGTCGTTATCCGCCAGGGGGCGGGGCTTCGGACGCCAGGTCAATGCTAGCGCGCCTTACCAGAGCAGGTACAGTTGGGCGCTCTCACGTCTTAATAGCTCGAGAAAGGGAGACAGAGGGAGAAAGAGGGAGAGGGAGAGAGCGACTGCAGTTCACGAGATGCTGAGCTATGGCTACGACGCAGACCTTACGTGGCCCCCGCTATCTCAGGGTCATTTGGACTCGACGAAATGGGGCCCACCCCATATCACATCGATTACTTAGCTACCAAGCTGTACTGATGCTGCACGCACAACCGCAGCATCCGCAGTTCTAAATCCCATTCGATATCAAGCTTTTCCAGGATCGCATCAGCGACATCAGCAGAATCGCATCATGCCGGTCGGTGATGATGTCCCAAGCTGGGCCGAAGAGCCAGTTACATGCGTGCGTTGGCGATCCAATCTTGTCCACAACTGCAATGCGGGCAGCGACTTCAATGAGGAGTACCATGCTCACGCCGCAGTAACGCGCCAACGCACGTTACTGCCACCAGTGATATCAGTGCAACGTAGTAGTTGCAAGCCACGCGTGTTCCAAACCAAACCAGCCAACCACAAAGCAGGCCACGTGTCACTTGATCAGCGGCGCGTGTGTTGTGCTCTGCTTGCGGCGGTGGCGCTTTCAGTCATCACGAGGGCGCATCAGCGTAGACCGCGTTCTGTGTCAAGCCCATGAACTTCACACGTTGAGCTCAGAAAGATTGAGAAGAGGGGCTCCGATCCGTCTAAATGCATAGCAGGCTCCACCCAGGGCCGTATTAGGGTTCCTCCACCTCTGTTCGTTTGTGTCTGTGTGTAGCCCCGCTTCACTGAGCAGATGACCGCGCCTGCTGGCACCGGCGCCAGCAGGCGCGTCTGTCTCAGTCATGGAGCGCGGACGGCACCGCCTTGTTTGGGGACCGGTAGCTGGTGGCAGGTACGCTAGCCGGCGCCGTCCACGTCTACAGCTACGGCTGGCCTTGGGTCCTGGGACCGACGGTCGTCTTCAGTACTGCTGGACACAGCCTTGACGGTACACCTTATCACAGCTGTATCACGGCCGACCGACCCGACGTCAGTCCTCAATGTTCTCGCTCACAACGACGTCTCATCAAACTACGTGACATCAACTGTAGCTAGGATATTTTAGTGCAAGATATCGTGGCGCTGTTGCCGTGGTGTGATTGGGTGAATGCGAGCCTTCAGACGAAGATCAACGGTGGAACCTGCGCACTGTAAACGGTTGTAATTGGTCACGGTTACCGTGTGTTCGTCTCGCTCACAGTTCCCACGCAAGCGGTGGGAAGCTGTTCCTACTGACTAACCCGGGAGGACAGTACAGAAGATGGGTGCGGTAATCAGCGCTTATTATGCCGTCAAGAATCGACCGGGTCCGTGTCAGGTAGCAGACGGCAGCGCGCGGAACACATGGACGGCCTGTGGATTGGTTCGGCTCCGGGCACGCACCGTCGCAGTCCACTCGCGTAGGAGTGGACGGTCTGTGGACGGTGTGTGGATTGGCCCGACTCCGAGCACGCACCGTCACAGTCCACTCACGTAGGAGTGGACGGTCTGTGGACGGTGTGTGGATTGGCCCGACTCCGAGCACGCACCGTCACAGTCCACTCGCGTAGGAGTGGACGGTCTGTGGACGGTGTGTGGATTGGCCCGACTCCGAGCACGCACCGTCACAGTCCACTCCCACATGAGTGGACTGTGATGGTACGAGTACCGGGGGTCAGTTATGACCCCATAACCGATCTGATGTTCGTAAAACCGGGCCGGGCATGCGAGATGTGATGCCTCAAATGTATTGGACCTTTGCCAGCACGGGGCTGGCGCAACCGGTTCGTCAGATGGTTATCGTGACCCGTCCAGCGAAAGGTTACGAAATTCGACGTGTGTTGTTGTAGAACGACGTTTTATAGTTTGGAATGGTTGAGAACGATGACGCCGGTCGTTAACGATCGCAATTCGATTTCTTTGGTGTGAGCTAATCATTCCGTGCATATTAGACCCGCCATCCATGTAGGCGGTTTGATGCAACTGCGAATCCGCGATTAAAGGAGTAGCTCCTAGTTGTATGGGGTTGTGAGCTGAAATACCCATCGCGGAGATAACTCGGTGCAGTTCACTGCCCTGCCCTACTTGAGACCTAAGCCCTCTAGTTTCTGAGCTACACTTTCTGTGCAGACTATTGTCGGGCGACTATTCAAGGTCACCCAGGCTTCCATGACGTCATAATGTAGTCATTCAAATCTTGACATTCCTTTAGCCATGCGGCGATCAAGGCTGAGACAAGTAAAATTGTCGAGATGTTCATATCTCGCGTTCGTAAGAAATATTTGCAGACATAGCCGCCGCCAATTGGTTCCCAATCACTGTTGTGCAAGGTACGAGGACGTAATCCAAGAGTGACGCATTCGGGACCATATTTACTCAGCCGAGAAGTTGTGCTGTCTGGAGCAGTCTTTTCCACTTAAAAGTAAGCCATTAGCTATAAGAGAGCTTGTTTCATCTTATCTGATACTTGTTTCAAAATCTTCAAATAAGGAACACTCCTTTTAAAAGTCGCAGACATCAGGAAATGGCTATGCGTGAAATTGACGGGAGTTTCGATTTTCACTATTCTTATGAAGTGTTACGATAAACAAAACGTTGTATCACATCAACTCGCGAGCTATAATCCCAGCAGCATGTGTTCATGTGGCGAATACGTTGAAAATCAACTCTGCTTTAAGGCTGATGACAAATTTCCCGCTTGCCTTTGACGTCAGTGTTTTTGTAGTTCCGCCGTCACACTTGCAAACCGGGCAGCAGGCTTTATGATCGTCGTGACTTTCTGTAAGCCAGGAGCGCAAAGTAGGAGTTTGCTGTTTATCGCTGCGTACTGATCGTGGGAAATATAATTAAATAGGTGTCGTTTTTCCTGTTGCATAATGCGCTTTCACCTTACGATGAGAACATGTTCAACAATTGCACTTCATGTTATTGCATTTCTGCAAATGCATACTCTCATCAGTGCACGATTGCCACTTTGTGTTTTTAACTGGCAGCTGATTCTCGTTAATGTGCAAAACGTGTCAACAATACCAACGGTTCGCATATATTAATGCACGTGCATTGCTTTCCAGTGTAATATGAATGTACAGAACGAGGCATAGATTATGTGCAACAAAAACAACAAACATATATTTTTAGGCATCATCGTTTAAAAAAGCTGCGTTCCTTTGTTACATCAATTACTATTGCCTAATGGAAAGAAATGTGGGCACCTGCGCCATGGGCCACTAGTGCAGCCGTGTCAAGGAAGTGTGCGTCGTCTTAGTCATTGCAGACTGTATAAAATGTGGCAAATTTGGCAACTCCAGCAACACTGCACTTTCGGTTTGAGGTGAGTCGCAGCATTGCGAACCAAGCCCACCCACTCGAGGCCTGAGGGGTTCAGGCCTGCGCGTACGTTGCTGATCTTGTTGCTGACCACACGCAGACGGAACGGACACATCGATTCGCAAATGTTTCATGAACCCAATGATCCAAATTCCATGTATAAGACACCACCGGTTCAACGGTATTCGCACTGAGTCACAACTCACTTGTGGCCGTGGCACGCGACACCGAATGAAGGTGCTTATCGTACGGAGCAAATGCATCCCCCACAGATATGAAGCGAGTAAGTCTGAGCATGTAGCTTCTGACCTTGAGCCTGAACATGCGCGGACAAAACACGCATATCGATGAGATCGAAATCCGCCATGGACCCAGTGTGTCAAATGTCACGCGCTTGGTTTCACCTGTTCAACGACAATGTCACTGGGACATGAATCACTTACACGTGCAGAGTGGGTGCAGCGGCATACGAAAGCTGCCTGAATGAGCCCTGCTGGCCACCACGCTACATTGTGACATCGAGAACACGACCAACCTACAGCTTAGACGTGAGTTGGAGACGCCTTGACCGATAAGGGTGCAAACCGTGCGCGAGCGCTTGAAGCGCAGAACGCGCCACTGACCTCTCCATCTTTGACGGCGCCAGATTCGTTCATAGACATCTCATTCACTTGGTAAGTTTGACAGCCATTATTCGGAGTGCTGGTGATTCGGAGTGCTACTGTCCATGCAGCGCATGACCGGGTCGTCTGGTGATTCGGAGTGCTACTGTCTATGCAGCACGTGACCATATCATCTGGTGGTTCGGAGTGATCGTCTGGTGATGCGGAGTGCTATGATCTATGCGGCACATGACCGTACCGCCTGGTAACGCGGCGTGCTACTATCTATGCGGCACATGACTGTATCGTCTGGTGATGCGGAGTGCTATGATCTATGCGGCACATGACCGGGTCACCTGGTGATGCGGAGTGCTATGATCTATGCAGCACATGACCGTATCGCCTGGTGATTCGGAGTGCCACTGTCCCTGTAATGCATGACCGGGTCGTCTGGTGATTCAGAGTGCCACTGTCCATGCAGTGCATGACCGGGTCGTCTGGTGATACGGCGTGTCACTGCCCATGCAGCACATGACCGGGTCGTCTGGCGGCGCCGCTCTCTGACGAGATCCCACCAGAGCCATGAATCACCACGGTACAATATCTCCGACGGCGGACAGCCTAGTGTGACCGGCCGTGTGATCTGTACCCATGTCAATTCGATGTTTGCAGACCTCCGGGGACCGCGCGCGGTGCGTGTCACCCGGCCCTGACCGGCACGCGGTCACCGCCATTGACCGTCCGCCGATCCGCAGACGGTGAAGGCTTCGTGACGGTCGGTCAGCCGGTTAGCCTCGGCTGGTCGAAATGCATGCTGGGACAGACAGACAGACAGACAGACAGACAGACAGACAGACAGACAGACAGGCAGACATGCAGATAGACAGGCAGGCAGGCAGACAGACAGACAGACAGTCCTAATCGAAGCTGAGTCAACCAACCCAGTAGTGAGTCGTTTCAAGTGTGAATGAAAGAACTGGATGTATTCACCATGTCATGCCCCATACCTGCAGCACGAGGAAAACAGCGATGCAGATCTATGTCGTCAACCAGACAACTGACTTATCTATATTTCATAAAGGCCATAAGGTTTTTCTGAATTCTTGTCGGAACCATATCCATCACGATCGACTCCGGAACCGAGCGATATGTCTTTAAATCAGAACCAGCGGACTCAAAATTGCTCCGATTCGCTCTAAATCACAGTCGGAATTAGCTCAATGCGTTCTGAGTCAGTCAGAGTCAGAAACGATTCCGCTGAAGATGATCGAACCACGAGCCTGCACACAGCCCTGCTGAATCCTAGTGCTTCCCTTTAAAAACCGATTCACTAATATCCAAGGTTCCTGCACGGACCAAACCATTGCACCTCACACCCAAAACCTCATTAAGCACACCTGTCATGCGCCCGCACGTGGCACTAATTACTTCGGACACTTACACCCAGTTGCCCGTGCTACCACGCTAATTGATGTCAGAAGTTCACCTTGACTCCGGCCAGCGTGCTCGGGGCGTCACAATTCAGTCGGTAGGGTGATCGGCGGCGACAGGAGGCGGTACGGGTGACGGGGGCCCACCCCGACCCCGTCACACTGGGCGGCTCCACCAGACGCCACCCACAGCGTGTCAATTTATTGTCACACTGGCACAGCAGCACAGCTCGTCAGCGGGGCGTCAGTGCGGCGCCAACCACAGGGCCTCTGATTCCCTGACAAACACACGCGAACAACAAACACCGGACAGCGGGTTGAATATCACTCGCCACACCACTGTGGCACAGGTACAGCGGCGAACCGTGCCCTCGGTCAACTTTCTTTACGGATCACCCGGATCGGGCAGAGCCTGTCCTGATGTGCAAGGGACGTCGTCATGACGGTGTACAGAGTTATTCACCGGTGGCGTACGATACAAGAGCGCCAGACAGCCAGATGATACATCCCTCTGTTTGGGATAGGGAAGTCCACAGCCGCCCGGCAGGGTCGCTGCGGCCCCACGGGCCCAGCTCCCGAGCGGTGGAGCCCAGCAGTGACCGCGGTGTGACCACGAGATCCCCCGCCCTCCCGCCCACCGAGACGACCCCGACGCAGCGAACGCGCAGCGGACGCGGCACACCAGCCGTTGGTACCGCCGGCTGTAGCACGTGACGCGGTCGGCCGCCGGTCAGTCACTGACAGGCGGCCGTCCGCCAACCCCGACAGAGGTCATCTGTCAAACATGACCCGGTCTCGACCTTCCGACCTCGATCTGGAGGCCACGCCTGCGGAGTTAACCTGCCGACCTCGCGGCCCGTCCGTCCGGGTGGAGCTGCTCCGCCGCAGCGGAGGTCCGCCTCCGACGCTGACCGGGTCACTTGCCGACCTTGCCGAGGCGCGTGTCGGTGCGCGGGTCGGCGACCAGGCCCTGCACGGCCACCAGCGCCTCATTGATGGCTGTCTGGAGGGCGCGCAGGTCGCGGATGTGAAGCAGCCGTAGCACCTTGGCCGCCTGGTTCAGCACCGGGTCGCCCGTGTCGAAGCCCAGGTCGGCGTCCTGAAGCGGGAACGGCGTGCCCTGGGGCGGGACGGGGCGAGGTCAGACGGACGGCTCAGGTCACGACACAGGGCGCGCGAGGAGCGCACTAGCGCACCCGTAGGTGCTGGGGACTGCTGAGGTAAACAGTCGATTTTACGGGACACGTTGACGGTGGAAGTTTGAAGTTGTAGCATGCTATTATCAATTGTTAATAACGCAATCATATGTGGCATATACCTACTCCAGCCAAATGACCATCCCGCCTAAGACAACACACCATCTCGCTGCCAACCCATGTGCAGCAGAGTAACATCGGGGAAAGTTTTTGGAAATGGTTGCCACTCCCAGCTCCCAGTTACTGGCAGGCGTGCTGACACACAAATGTACTGCGAGTCTGCAGAAGCGCAACACGAAATCCAAAGCCGCAGCAGAAAGTGCAGTGACGACGTCCGCACGCCCTGTGTCCGAAGCAGCGGAATATCCCAACACAGTCTCGCAGAACTGAGCACCGCACGGGAGAGTTACAGAGAAGTTTCGTATAACAGGACTTGCGTCAGCAGCAGTTCTTTACTGTGTCGGTCGTGTTTGCATTCGTAAGTGTTGTTGACCGATGACCTCCCGCGTTGCGCGGAAATTGTGTGATGCAACTTCAGTCGGAATCAGTGGTGGCAGCACGAATCTTTATGATACACATCACTCTTCAAATAAACTATGTCACACAGATTGTCGCCAAACACACTGTCACACGTAACATTGCATAAAACCCTGAGCTCAAAATGGTGGTAATAACAAACCTAAAAGAGCATGCGGCATCAACACCAAGAGAAATCCTCCAACGGAAATAGATGCACATTGGTGGCAGCGATATTCGCATGGTCCCTAGACTGACATAATAACTCCCGGTTTCAAGAGTCAACAAAGATCATAAATGCTGTTCAACCTCAAATGCCCCACAACAGGACAAACCGTTGCATCACAACATTCGTCTCATAAGTCCATCCACGCACTAAAAGGATTCATGCGATAACCGAAAAGAATGAATAAATCGAACGCTACATGGAGCACTGTCCATACTGCTCACACTAGTTCTTACGCGCGGGAATCCGAAAAGAAAAGTAAACACGACAGCACGAAACATTTATCCAGTTGTCCAGCCGGTCGCGGAATACAGCCATGCTTCTTACAGTGGCCGCCAGATGTCCCCATCTGCCCGTTTGATCACAACGTTGCCCTGCATACGCTCCGCGCGGGGGATCCGGGCGCCAAATGGTCAACGTTATCTTGCCACCCGAGACAAGCAGGAATTACAGGTCGCATAAGAAGCAGTGTTTCCATTAGTTCAACCTGACATCCATTACAGCCATATGGACATCGACAGAAAAGAACGGTCAGGAAATAACGGACGGAATGACACCGCAGCTGGCAAGCAAACCAGAGGCGTCAGTGGTACCTGAGTACAATTATTCTCACGCACAAACTCTGTGGAGCACGCGGGTACACATGTGTCCAGCCGCCTTCAACTGCGCTGGGTCAGCGGCCGGTTCTCCCCCGAACGCCCGACCGCGGCCGACGGTGGCAGCGACGGTGGAGGGTCTCCAGCGGCAGGTCCCCTGATGAGTCTCTCAGAAGCAGGTCCTCAGCGGTGGGTCCCCAGCGGCAGGTCCCAAGCGGCGGGTCCCCAGCGGCACGTCCCCAGCGGCACGTCCCCAGCGGCACGTCCCCAGCGGCGGGCCCCCAGCGGCGCGCTCCTCACCTTGACCACCACCAGGTCGGGGTCAGCGAGCGCCTGCTTGTTGAGCCGCTGGCAGATGAGGCCGCTGACGGCCTGCAGCGTCACCAGGTGGTCCGGGTGGCAGGGCAGGTTCAGCAGGCGCGCCAGACGCTCCACGCCCGACACAAACTCGGCGCTGTTGACTGTCGGCGCAGGGACAGCGTCAGCTCCGCGTAACACGGCTGCACATGGGTGCCCGTCGGCCGGTGGACAACCACGCCTTAATGAAGGATTTAAACAAACTTCACACACTTCTGCAGACTCGCAGTACATTTGTGTGTAGAAGACAACCTGTACAGTTTCAAAACATCCTATTTCCAAGGTTGCTAACCGCATTCCACTTTCTTGGTCAAACGACACTGTGAAGGTTCAGCGCGCCTGCCAGTGACTGGGAGCTGGGAGTGGCAACCATTTCCAAAAACTTTCCCCGATGTAACTCTGCTGCATATAGGTTGACAGCGAGATGGTGCGTTTACACGAATCTGTGGTCCTCAAGAGAATAAGCTCATACTTATCTAGAGATATGCAAAGGAACTGCCGCAATGGTTTAAAACATTTGGAAAAATGCGCCGGTCACTCACATGCTTCCACTGTTTCAGCACTATCTCCATACATGAAGAAATACATTGTGGAATGCTTAGTGAAGGTCAGCAATGTAATACACGGCACTCACCAAGTCACGTGACAGCACAAATCCAACCACAGTAATATTACTGTCGATTCTCCTAGTCCTGCACATCGCCATCCTGAAGAACGCTGTTCCAAATCTAACACTGAGAATGACGACCAGGAAACATTGGTATGTTGTCCCCACCTGAAGAGAAGCTGTCAAAATGAAGGCAATCCAACGAGGGCTGTACTTACAATCTAAGTTGTCTAATGGATTCTGAGAGGGCGCCTTCACGGTCTGCGGCTGTCCGGCGGTGCCATTGACCTGCGCCGACTGGTACTTCTTCAAGTTATCTCCATACGCCTGAAAACAACAGTCCCATGACCTTAAAGCCACAAGCCGCTGACCTGAGCAGCGAAAATACCACCTTTTTCCGCCGCTGCCGGTCCAATGACATACCCACACGATCACCTAAGCTCCGTACACGAATCACTACGTGCCTCCGTCGCAGCCCGTTCCCCACTGCGTGCCTGCCCGTTCCCCGCCCTCTCCGCGCCCCTCGCTGCGGCGCAAGGGTCTCGCAGCGTCCTCCCAGCACAGACACGCGGACGAGCTGCAGGGTAACAGGTCGCGCCTACATCAAACCACAACTTCGAACATAGTATAGTCATGACTATGAGCCAACTCCACGTTTAGGCAATTTGATGTTCAAAACCATAAATGTTGACTTACATGATTACTTTCCCAGGAGGCGCGACGCCAGCATGAAGAACTAACGTTAGCCAGCAGGGCACCCCAGCGTTGTTCACGACTGAGATGTGGTCACGCTTGATTTCGCAAATAGCTCGGGGCGCGAAAAGTTGCCCCAAAACGAGACAACAAACTCCGCTCGACACCCCAACTCGCGCAAACAGCGACCACAAATGGGCTGGACCATGGGCACTGACCAGACGGACGGCACGGCCCAGCAGCCAGTCGAGCGAGCCAGCTTCGTCAGCGGCCGACACGGGCGCCGACAAGTCTGTGAGGTAGCGGGAGAACGCCTCGGACCACTGCTCGGCCTGCAGGTCCCGGAGCGGGCCGCGGTCGCCGGCCGCGTAGTGTCGGATCTTCTGCTCCTCCAGCCAGAGCGCGGCCGAGCGCAGTTGGCGCTGGTCTGCCGGCGGAGCGTGGTCGTTGTAGCCGACGTCAGGACGGCACCAGCTCGCTGGTCGCCCACCACTACGGACCGAGCTTCCGTGTGCGGCAGCCATGACAGCCGTCAGTGTTGGCGGCGGTTTGCAGCACTGATTAGATGATTAACACCAAACATGCCGTGCTTTGTATCAAGACGTGCTCTTTCCTGCTCGACAACAGCTTTTACTGAGGACGCTGCATGGATCGATGGCCAACTTAAGTGGCAATGGAAACAATGGCTGTCGCAGAGTGGGTTGGCAGTTCAGAACATGTTTCAAATACAAATAAATTTTTAGGTTCATCTCTTGGGAATTTTTCCATTTCTTATGCTCCGCAATTTTTCCCGACATTATCACCCTTTTTCCCACATCCCCTCAATTTCTCGAATGAATCTTCTCAAGGTAGTGCCTTATCGTTTCAGAGAGCAATTCCGTGCAAAGAAAGTAACATATAGCGTGATGAAGCAGAATGAATGGACCAGTGTCGCGTTTAGACCATCATGACATGCCCTGTGTATCTTAAAATAGGTGCGATAAAGCCTATAGGAAAATGAAAAATAAACCGGATAGGGGAAAAAGAGCTTCAGCCATTTACTAATTTTGTGGTAGCATCAAGGTACGCATCATACAGGCATTTGACCACCCACACAAACACATTTTTTAAAAGACTGGACAGGGCAAACATTTGTGCATCTGCCTAATATATGCCTTATTAAAATGCAAGTAGACACGAAGCTCGTTTAACAAAAAAAAACTTTGTTTTCATTTTCAAGCCGGTAATTTAGGAAGGATGGCAAACATGCGCTACCTCAGTACGCTGGACTCAGTACGCCGAAGTGACCGTTACCTGTGTGGTCAAACTGCTCCGCCTCCGGGTAGCTGAGGGCCTTCAGCTTACGGCAGAACATTTCGTGACCTCCAGCCTGTGAAACAGCAACGCACCTAAGTACACGACTGCAGACATTTTAGTCGGGGTTGAACTACAAAACGACTGAGATTCAGTTGCGGTGAAAGTGGGATTCATGTTGCATCTTTTTTGTCGGGAGCTTGTATGTAATATTGTGATAATTCAGCAAAATTTTGGTTGCACCTCTCGTCACTTCGGCGGTCTCGCTGCCTCTCCAAGCGAACCGGGTTAGCACAACATCCTGTAATTTCACGCCGAAATGCTACAGCAAATATCCAGCAGCAGAAAGCCAGTCAATGCGTCATCCAAATATGTCCCAATGCTCAGTTCTCAGCATGTTTCGCAGTTGTCTTGCCGGGACGATCAGCCGAGGTCAAACAAAGTCTCTAACGTCTCCAGGCCTCTTTGTTTAGGATGAAAGAGTAAAGCTGATGCCGGTAAATCGCGTCACCACTCACTTCCGAGTGGTGAGGTGAGACCATCTAAAGCCATTTGACGGCATCCCAAGTCCAAGACCCTGTTCAGAGATGAAATTGCAAGTGATTTTTAGGCACCATGATGCCGTCAGTGCATCACGAAACGTCCGCTAACCATCTTTTACACAGCCCTGCAGACTCGCATGACGTGGTCTTGACCGTCACCAACACATGCCACTGACACTTATCAGTCCGTTGCGTTCGTGATATAACGGCTTGGTCAATTTTTTATTCATAACACTTGGCTTGACGCGATCTTGGCCTCATGCCAACCCAATGAAGGTTATGTGTATAATCATTCTCATTTCATTCAATTCCTTTTATCCAACGATTGGGTAAAAGCAATGCAATGGAGGATCTGGCGCCGGAGCGTATGATTAACTCGAAGTGTGATTTAGGGTAAAATGTGACGTCAACAGACAGTGAAGTGGCTTAAGGGAACTTCTGGAATCCCATGGGCCAAACCCATGGCACAATTGTGAGTTTAAAGCTACAAGACGGGCACCGGTTTGCACTGGATCAACAGATAAGCCCGAGCCTAAAAGGACTTACAATAACAATGTCTATGAGGCATGGTGACTAGAGTGGCATTGGTTTCAGCTTCGCTGAACCACAGGTTTCCTTCAATGACTTCGATTTCAACTTTATGCCGCTTTCAATGGTTGGTTTCAGCTTTGGCCTCGGGTTGAGGACATTTTTAACAGTTGGCCTAGTATTCGGCATAAATTTCAAATTTTTCAATCATATCGGCTTCAACTGCACGTGATCCTGGACTGGTGGCTTCGACTGTGTCACGGTGATTTTGTCACTGCAGCTGCAGTTTTACCCCACAAAAAGCAACAGCCCTGCCTTTCCTGTCGCCTCAAAATGTCACACCCACTTCCAAGGTTGTGGCGCATGTCTGTCAAAAGACACAAACCAGGGGCCATTCTCAGGACCAACTAACACCTGATGACGGCCGGAACTATCTTTAGCCCGCAATAAAACATGCAAGGCACATATCATAGGCCGGAAAAACTTCCACATCCGTAATACTGACTCCCTCATCGTAACTCACGCCACCGTTCGACGTTTCTCGTAACGCGGACTGATAGGAGGATGCGATCATCCCAGGCGTTTCCAAACTAATGAGGTTAGAGTTTAGCGGAAAATACCAGTGAATTGATATTAACGCGATCTCGCAATTCATGACAATTTCGTGCAATAAGATCAATAATTGACCCCATTATATCGGGTCAAAGAAGCGATTTTACAAAAGTTGCACTTTTCAGCTTTACAACACTATACCTACGATAACACACCTTGTGGCGACATAAAACTCACACTGATGCGTTTCTTGTTCAATTCTGAGTGCAACTGTGCACATTCTTTGTGTTTGATCATACACACACTACCTACGGCTTCGTTAACGTGTCAATGTCGGTCCGCCACGCGCGCTCCGCGGCATCGTCGGCCGCCGACGCCGCCTTGCGCCAGCCGCAGATCGCCGTGCAGTGTTTCTCAAAAACCGCCGCTGCTCCGCAACCAAAAAGGCTAGGTGCACGCCATTGAAAACTTGAGCGCGATAGCAGAACACGCCGGAGAGGTACCGTAAAAAAACCTTAGGGGGGTTGCCTACCCCCTGTCAGGGCTAGGGTTAATCACCTCGAAAAACACTCATATTTTCTTATCCCATACAGTTTCCTCGAAAGCGAAAAGGTTTTCAACATAACAACATGAAAAAGCTTTCATAACATGACGTTGCATACTGGATTTGGATTTGACCTCTGCAGTACGATTTACGGTGCTTAGGCGTCGGCTTCGCGTGCACAAAGTTCAAGGCCACATGCTTCGGGTTTGGCTTCATGCTCTAAAAATGTGAGCCACCGGCTTCGGCTTCGCAACTGCAAGCGTCACATTTACCAGCTTCGGTTTTGACTTCCACCTCATGACGTGTTCCTGGCTTTGCATTCAGCCTCACAGTCAAATATCTGGCTTTGTCCCATGTCTTGCCCCCCATAGTGACCACGAGGGGGCTCACTTGGCTGAAAGATCCTTTTGTGACCTGATTTGGTCCGTTCCTGGGAGAAGCTCCTGGCTATGTCAAAGCAAAGGAAAGCTGCGAGTGTTTCTCAAAAGTAAAGGACATGCCAACCGCACCAGCTGTCTGTGGAACAAAGTAAAAGAAAATACAACCTAATCAGATGGCTCAGCCACCAAGCATATTAATGATATAGTCATCTGATGCGGTCAGAACATAGGGGAAAAAACATTTCCCGGACCCAGACTGAGAATGCGCTGCAGGACTGAAATTTTACACCTTTATTTTTACACCAGAGCTATGATAATGATAGAACAGGTCACTGACATCATTAGGCAGGGACTTCAAGCTTTGAAGTCAGGTATACAAATAACCAGGTAGCCATAGGGGTAGTCAAGACAGCATTTTGTTGTGTCATGCCAAAAGGTTAGAGGGGCGTTTAAATAACTGAAGGCAATTGGCAAACCCAGAGGCTCCTGGCATAGGCGTACGGACGTCCTAAAAAGTGAGAGGGCCAGGCACAGGGCGTAGTTTACAAACTTTTCTGGAAAGCAAGTACGATGACCGAGGGGGGGGGGGTGAGGGTAGAGATGGAGCTTGTTATCGCTCTTTATTCAAATGTCATTGCTACTATCCTAGATATGCATCTAGAACTGTTTCTCACAAGCGCATAACCTTGCCTATTCGACTCATCTATGCCATTCAGTAAATGAGGCTATCCTGCTTCCCAAGATCATTTGTCCATTTCAACATTGTCTTTCCTGGGGAGGCGGGATGCTGTGAACGGGTAGGCATTTTGGGTCAGTGAGGAGGCATATCTGCCTCCACAGGGTAGATGCCAAAATAACGCCTGGACATAGGCTGATAAGAATTTTGAAAGTGAATCGATGGCTCACAGTGCGATAACTTTTATTTGCGCCTTCATTTCGCTGGCTGTGTTTTAAGAGATAAGACTTGCGACAGCATTGTAGGCAGAAACAAATTCGGAAGCCTGAAACTGCCAAAAACAAGGCGACAAAAGGCATAAGACTGGGAGATTCTCCTTTAAAACCAATCCACAGAATGAAGGCCCTTCTGTCATATAGCCTTCATCTGAGACCTGCTCTGCCCGCCGTCGGCCGCTACTGCCCTGGACCGACCGTCTCCCGTATGACTGACTGCGAACTGATCGTATAGCTGTTTTGTTGCATATTTCTGGATCAGCGTTACTGCTAATTGGCGTGTAAAACATACGCTGGGCACCTGCAATAATATCTTTTTCAGAATTATCTTCCCTTGCACCGCACTACCGCAGAAAAAAACCTACGGAAAGCTGCTTGCCTTAGGCATGAATTGGTTCAACAGACACTTCAACTGATCATTACTCACCATAGCCGACCTTATTTACTTTTGGGTGTAGGCAGGGGCGCAGGCAGAGCCTTGCCAAGAGGGAGCACAGGGTTCACAAAAGCCTCTCTTATGGTGAACACCTCCAAAAAAGCGGGATATAGCTTACTTGCTAACAAGGAACATGGGTTTCTTCGTTTCACTGTTATTTTTACCTTGTGTTCAGAGCAGAAACTAGAAGCTACCGTGAGATCAATGCGTGTGTATTTCGAAGTCAATACACAGCAGAAATCAGGCATTGAACGACAGCATGGAATAAATCACTGACGCCCCTTATTTGCAATGGTTTAGTGGACTGGTTCTAGACCGATTAAAGAAGCTTTGTCAGAATTGTTTAACTGGGTTCCACACATTAAGGACATCGCGAAGGCAGATTGTAGATCGATATGTTTAATCGAATTTAAAGATGAAAATTTGATTGTAGATTGAGTGGTAAACAGTGTGAATAAGCATGCCCAAGCCATGTTTGTCTGGAAATGTTCAACATTCAATCAGAATCGATTAATGACACAATTCGTGTAACTTTGTTTTTTAACATACGCGCATGCAAATTTTAGCAACAAAAACCACGACACCAGACTTCGCAGCCTCCTTAGTCCGCGGAACATTAGCCCAGTGGCCAAGTCTTAGGTGCAACTCACCGGTGGAGAAAAATGATGATATTTCTGAAATAATTGCCTTTAAACACTTTAATCGATTAGTGATACCAGTAATGTAACGTAGTTTGGAGCACGCGCGCTCGCAAATATTGGTAACAAAAACCTCTTCGCCAGGCGTTGCAGTCTCCGCAGGCCGCGCAGCGTCAGCCAAGCATCTAATACTGAGCCGCGACCAATGTATGGACGAAAATGATAATGCTTCCAAAAGAAGTACTTTTGAACGCTTCAGGACATCAAATCTCACTTTCAGAAGGCAGCCTAGATGCATATTTTCATGTGTGCGATTTTTAAACTGATAGTAAGAACGGATTGGCCCTTAAAGCACCGCGAAGTGGTGCTGAAATCTGGTGATGTAACTCGAAGAGTAAAGGTAGAACCTCCATTTTTGGTGTTTCTGTAACTATTAATCTGTCTAGAAGACAAAGTAACATGGCGCCTGCGGTCTGGTGGCACTTGCAATGGCCGATGCCGTTCGGTTTTAAGGAAGCTGCAACCCAGGCCACCGCTGTCCTTGCTCTCGAGGCTGCGGGCGGACATTCTCAAACCTTTGATGTAATTTGTTTCACTAATCCATTCTGAAAAACCAACATTCTCAGGCAAGCATGGGATGCCTTGCTCGTTTTTTAAAACACATTTCGACCCTCTCTTTTCAACAATAATGAGACCCCCAATCTATCCAAAAATATTGAGACGCCTCCTTTCCTTCCAGGCGAGGGGAGCTTTAAGTAGAACTCACCGGGAACATTATCACTTCCGGTCAAGGGCTGAAGGGCCATTCTGTCCCATTGCAAAGTGACTTCTGGCTGTCATTCTGGCGATATGGGGTGGGATCTCTTGGTCGATCTGGAGACCCTTAGGAGGCTACATATCACGTTGTTCCCCTCCCTGACACGGGAAGCCTTCTAACCAACACACCTGGCCCCAGATCAGCACAGGAACCTCCATTGACACAACATTTACACCAGATGGTCCCATAATTGTTACATAGATACTGGTTCCATATTTTTATGTGTTCTTCAGAGATATTGAGGACTCTATGAACACAAATTGTACATGAAATGGGGTCCCAGATTTTCATCAACATGGCTAATCCATGTTCATCCTAAAATGTTCAAGATTCAGTAAGAATTGATAAAACTGATAAAACCAGATAATATGGTTTTAAACATGCATGCCCACAAGTCACAGCAACAGCCTCGACACCTGGCGTTGCAGTCTCCATAGGCCGCACAGCATTGGTCCTGCTACTAACACCAAGCTAAGGCCAATGAGTACACAAATAAGATGACACATCTTGAGGAAGATGGCTGATGAACTACATAGATCAGCATACATGTTAAATGTAATGCAAAGGTAAGCTAAACACAACCTAAATCTGAAAAGCAGGGGGAGCAGTTAACACCACTAGCCCAACACCTTGATAAGTGGGGGGCCATGATCCCCCTACCTCCCCCCCCCTTTTCCTACGCCCATGGCTCCTGGTGCCCCAAAGTTGGAGAAGTAGACAGCTCCAAGGTGGGAAGCAGAAGGCAAGGCTGTAAGGGGGCTGATTCAAGTTGGGCTCAGTCCACACCATTTCAGCAAATACAAAGTCATGTTTTGGGAAACTTTTATGCCGTAAAGACTTTTTCAAGCAAAAACACCCCAAAAATGTTTTTGACACTAAAAGAATGTCAACATATATAAGATAAAACTTACATGTAACAAACTTACAAAACAATTTGACCTGGCATGAGCTCAGCACATGCAAGTGTGGTTTAGCACATCAATGCTGTATAGGTATCACCACCACATATTTTTTTGCCAAATGGGGTTGGGCCACCTTTGGTTGTCAGGTCAGGCAAGATAGGATATGTGCACCACAGTAAATCCCCCACACTCTATCAATAAATCTCAATATTTAGTCTTGGCTTTATCTGCTGACATTTCTGGTATTATACTCTGGTTTACCTTATCAGTTGCTCTGATATTAAATAAAGGCTTAGCTGGACTCAACCTGTGACTCAGACTGTAAAAAATCTGCATCCATCAATGAGCTGAACCCAACAATCACACGTGTTAGACCCAGGTCAGTCCTGATAGGGCTGAATTTTCACATTAGTTTAACCTATACATTTTCAGAGATTTTGGTCTAAAATTACTTTTCATGTAGCAATGCCAAAAACATTAGTTCTCTAGGTTGAAATTGATCCTGGCTGTTCTCTGAAGTTTCAGTGCTAAGATTTAAGATGCAAGCACATGTAATGAAATCTGCAGTGTGATTTTGCTGCCAAAATGTGAATACTTCATGTAACATTCACTTTTTTGCAGTTTGGACTGGGAATATCTAAGGCGTGATATCCTTCAGAGACTACCTGAATAATGAATCAGATCTCAAATACAGCGGAGCCCACACGCCTTTAGTTTTACAGGTACTGACTTCTTACACTAAGAAAGCGTAAGGTACTCTACCTTTCTGTCAGCGCCGGGCCCACTCTCCCAGACACGTAATTCGCTTGCCCGCCGCCCCCACAGGTTATCACCCCACCGACCCCACAGGTTATCACCAGCCGGCTCCCACGGCGCACGTATAGTACCTTGAGCGCATGTATTGTCTACGAGACGCCTGACAGGTGATATGGTAACATATACTCAGATACAAATTTTGGGGCGCCTAGGTAACTTCTCATATTTCCTTTACCATGCACATTTTCGAAGTTATTTCAGCGTCCCGTGCAGGCCAAATTTCATCATCGTTCTGTTATTGTCACAAAATGTAGCCGCTTGAAAATTTAATACATCAAGCCCATTAGTTGTGCTTCTTGACCAGGCAGAATGCACTATCTTTAATGTTAAACCCATAGCATAGAGTACAACATTTGTAGTTTTGTGCGAACGTTTCTGAGGCTCTGCTGGATTCAGAGCACACATTTCGAAAATTACCGGCATTTAATTCACCAGGAGATTACGAGTCATGAGTGAAGAAGCGTGAGTGACGATGTGAATGAGTCACGATTATGAGCTGTCTGGTAGTGCTGTCTGGAAACTCCGTACCATGGACATATCGAAACTATAAATCAGAATTTACTTGAAATTGTAGCTTATTCAGCAGCTTCTGCAAAGGTAAAGGTTGGTTATTTTCAACAAGACAAATCCGTGATGCCTGAAAAACGGGACGTAAAAATTCGTCTTAGTCACATCAAGGATGTGGTGGATGGGGACGTCGGACGTCCGTCAAGTTGGCATCTCATTCACATTCAGATTCAGGTCCATATTCGGGATTTAGTGGACTCCTTAAATTTCCCTGAAACTTTGTATACAGATGTAGTTTAATTTCCTGACCATAATGAGTACAAAATATCGAACCAGTACGCCCTTTTACCGGAGATATACCAATATTAAAGATCGCAATAAAAAGGCGGACTCCTTCGATTCTTTCTAAACTCCGCGTGCTGATAGATATTGATCTCCTGATAACGATGAGCACAAAATCTTTGACCGGTACGCTGTATCAAAAAAAGTTATAGCTGTTCTGATGTCAAGGTCGCGAATCCAGTCCGTATTGCATGTGATCATGCTTGACTCAGTTTCATATCCCATATTCAGCGGACTCCTCAGATTGGCTTGAAATTTGATAGAGAGATGCGATTTAATCTTCTGAGCATAACGAGCACATCATCTTGGACCAATACGCCATAGTATCGGAGATATAACAATATGAAAGATCACAATAAAAAGTGCGGACTCCTTCAACTCTTTCCAAAATCTGTGCATTGGTCCATGTTAACCTTCTGATTGCGACACACACAAAACTTTGGACCGGCACGCTGTATCAAACAAATTATAGCCTTTCAAATACCAAGGCCGCTAAGATATAGCATATGTGAGACATGGATCACACTTTCTTCATCCTTGACTCAGTTTCATATTTAATGTTGAGCGGAATCTTTAGACTTGACTGAAAATTTCAGAATACGTGTGGCGCATTTTTCTTAGCATAATGAGCATAAAATATTTGGACCGGTACGCACCGTTATCGGAGATACACCAAGATGAAAAATCCGAATAAAAATGTCGGACTCCTTCAATTCTTTCCAAATTCCGCATACTGATAGAAACTGACTTCCTGACTACGATCAATATAAAATCTTGAACCGGCACGCTCTATCAGAGAAGTTACAGTCCTTCCAACATCGAAGTCACCAAGACAACATTTGCCGCGTTTTCTTTAAACTTGGACGTTGGTTGAGGGCCACATTCATTCGGATCGGCGTACTTTGTGGGTTGTTATCGCTGGTATCACCGCGGTCATTCTGGGTAGAAAGCTCTTGGATCTATCTCATTCTGAGGAACCCCAGCTACATTTGCCGCACATTCTGTGTTCCCTGACAGGCTAGGCCTATATCTTAATTGGTTGTTGCCTGGTGCGGTGTTACCACGCTGTCTGTCTCGTGATGTGGTTCGTGAGCATCACCATCCACCACTGGTAGACTGACCTTGGGATGTGGGTTATGGGCACCAACACCCACCAATGCTAGCCTGGCCTTGTGATATGGTTTATGAGTGTCACCATCTGTCAATGGTAGTCTGACCCTGTGAACTGGTATGCCACTGTATCTTGAGTTTCATCTGTCATCTACCAGTGACCAGATATAGTGCAATGTCATGTGGCAGAGGGTCCTGAGCTCTAGCTGTCCTCTATTGGTGAACATGCTCCATTACCTATCCTGGTACTGTGCTTTTGTGTATTGTGGTCCAGAGGTTGATGTGAGTTAGAGTTTCAAAATGCCTTTTACTACACCAAGACAGCCATTTTCTGGATTATGAGGGCACCTTTGTGAATACAGTAGCGCATGCGCTACATCAGAAGGTGCAATGTTGTGTTAATGAGGATGTTTGCTGACTCCCAGGCTCTGTTATACACAAGGAATCCCTGTTCTGGGTTGGGATGCACCCTCTATGTTCAGATGGTCCATTTTTTTTAATGGGAGATCCCTTTCCTGCATGATATGGGATGCCCTGTTTTCCAAATCAGTATGCCCAGTTTTCTGAATCAAGATGCTGTGTTTTGCTTTAACAAAACCACTTGAGCAGATTTGGAGGCCACTTCTTGAATCACGAAAATCCTATTCTAGGTAAGGAGGCCCTTTTAGGCATCAATGGGCCCTATTTGATGTACGCAAAATCCTTTGCTGAATAGCGAGAAGGCCCCATCCGGTTTTGATGAAGGAGCACATGTCCTCAGTACCCCTCCCCCTTGCGTATGACACTGCTTAGAATGCTCTATAGATATTATTTTTACCCTGAGACTTGTGGTACAGCGATGCATGACTTCCCACTGCTGCCCGCAGATAGCCTAATCCTCTGGCTTGTCGTGTCGCTGTGGTAGCCCCAGCTACAGCCAGCTGTTCTCTGGTGGTGACTCAACCTGGCACCTTGTCGTTCAGAGTTCCAGCCCCCTTCCACTAGCCATCTGATCGCGTCACCTATAACTGTGGTGTCTAGAGCCTCTCCTGTCTTCCAGTGTTGTCCTGACCACGAGGCTCATTCTGCAACGGCAACGATTTCGGAACAGCAGCCGTGATGTCGAAGCTCCAGATGTCCACAAGTGACAGGACGACATGACCTGTCTTGTAGTGGTAACCGGAGCTCTCGCTGCCCTTCACCAGCCGCTTGACTGCACCGCCCGTCCTGTTGCAACGGATGCGTATTGAAACGTCCAGAGCTAATAAAGTTCAGTGGTCAAAAAGTCCAGAATCGCAGCATGCAGTGTTCACAACATTCAGAAACCGTCCAAAATCCCTGGACAGAGGAGAATCATAAAATCCAGGCTCGCGGCGTCCAATGTTCATAAAGTCCATTGTTCGCAAAGTCCAGCGTGTGCCGCGCTCAGTTCCACTGAGCGCGGCGCCGGTGGCGGACGCGCCGTGGTCTTTCCCCACCTCGCGACCCCAGTGGCCTTTTAGCTGATCGGTTACCATGTTTCGTAAACAGTTTTCGTGGCAGTGTGAGGGTGAGAGTGTCTGTATGCGAGTGAGAAGGTGAAGGGATCATTTCGCTGATCACGTGAATCGTGACCGACTACCGTGACTACCGAGACGGGACCACCTACCTGCCGGCTGCGCAGCGACGGGCCCGAGGTGACAACTACCAGCGGTCGCCCAGGTTATCGTGCGGGCCGCCCTGCCGGCCCCAAATCCCTGGCTCCCGGCTCGGCGCGTGCCATCGGGCCATGCGGGGTCAGCTGTTGAGTGCGGACCGCGCCAGGTCACCGCGGCGGCCAGGGGCGAGCTCAGGGTTGCCTTGGTCGGCTAGAGTGCGGGCGTGAGCGCGGGCCGGCCCTCTGGTGGCCGCGGGTCTGACTCAGGTGGTAGCCGCCCGGCGCGCCGGGGCAAGCGATCGCGGCGCCGGGCTGTAGGGGAGGGGCGAGGTGGCGGGCGCCCGGCGAATGCCGTGAGGGTGAACTATACGTCGCGCAGTTAAACATGCAAAGTTTGAACCCCAAACTGCCAGATCTACGTGACAGTCCAGCTGATATGCATCAGTTTGATATCCTCGCACTCAGTGAAACGTGGCTGCGGCCGTCTGTCCCCGCCCGGCTGCTGAACATTGATGGGTACCGGCTGTACCCACACGATCGGCCTGCAGACAGCAGACTGCCTAGGGGTTACGGAGGGGTCGCAGTTCTGGCGCGGGATTCGTTTGATGTGACTGTTCTGAAAACGCCTCATACTGCCGTTGGTTCATCGAGTCTTGAGATAATTTGGACCCCTGTTCGACCCGCTAAAGCAAAACAGATTATTTTCGGGTCATTGTACCGACATCCTACTAACACAGCCCGGCAGGTGTCTGATGATCTCGATGATTTGGAGAACCAGTTACAATGTGTAATGTCCACATAGGACTGCCCAATAGTGATCGCCGGTGATTTAAACATCAACCTGATTGGATCGAGCACAGGCACAGGCTATCAGAAATTGATGCAGCTGTTACGGTCTTACAATCCGCATATGTGTAACGATTCCTATCCAACGTACCGTCCTGCTGGCTCGCTGTTGGATGTTACGATCACAAATCACAAGGACCTCATCCAACGCTGTGGTGTCACCGCCTGTCACTATAGTCCGCATGACTTCACGCAAATATTGCTGAAAGCATCGAAGGAGAAACGCCAAACCAATGCCATCACATCCCGCTGCCGGAATCGAGTTGATTTTGATTATTTCAATGACGCTGGGAACGCCGACTGGTCTCTCGTTTATGGAAGTGCGACGACGTCTGAGAAGTGGGACTTTTCTAGGAGTGTTATACCCCATTTGAATGTGGTCGCGCCCGCCCGGCGCATTAAACTGCACCATCAATCCGCCCCGCCTGTCTCAGCTTATATGCGTGTGTTGATGGTTCGTTGCCGCGTCGCTCTAGCGTGCTGTTCGCGTGCTGAGTACAAGGCACTCAATAGGCAGACACGGGCAGCTATTAGACGGGACTGTCGCGATCATATTAGGAAGCAGATTTCTAAGGCAGGTCACTCCGACATGTGGCGG